GCCCCCCAGCAGACCACTGGCCCTCCTGGCCATGAGGGCCCATGGCTGTGTCATAGGCAACTTGCTGTTGCCCAGGTCCCAGGTCCTTTGCCACAGAGCTGCTGCCCAGCAGGTCACCCCTCCCCTGTGCTGGCGCAGGGGGTATTCCGGCCCCGGGGCAGGACCCAGCACTTGCCCTTGTTGAACTTCATGAGTTTCCCCCTGCCCATCTCTCCAGCCTGTCCAGGTCTCACTGGATGGCAGCACAGCTCTGTGTGCCAGCCACTGCTCCCAGCTCTGTACCATCAACACCACTCTTGCAGCAGTGCCTCCCCCATAGCCTGAGGAGGTTTCCTTGCTCCTCCAGCAGCAGCTTTCCAAAATGACCTTTTAAAGCAGTTGACATTTTATACAGCACCTAATATTAATTTCAGACCCTAAGATTCCACCTGAGGGGATGGATTTCATACCCTTTGCTCCCTCTAGAACTAGACCCCTGTATTAGGGGTAGAAAAAAACATGACAGATGTTTTCCTTGCATACAAATAATCACATTTCTATTCACATTTTTGTTCATTCCTAAATAACATGACTGAGGGATATGGCCAAACTACAACACATCACTGAGAAACCAGGCAAGTTCCTAGATCATGACAAAATCATTTGAGAACCTGTTTTTAACAAATGTCAGGCAAAGCTTGATAGAGTATTGATATATCTAGAGGAAGAACATAAAGAGAAGCCTATTCTTGCAACAGGGAGCATATTAAAATTTCTGTTTCATTGATGTACATATCAGTGGAGTAATTTCCTACCAATGTGAAGAGTCTCCTAGGTCTCTGCTACTGTATTTAAGATCTGAAATCAGCCAGGTAACTTCCTCAGGTAGGCATGGAAAGGACCTGTGCAATACCATTTCTGCATTTCAGTTTTTACTGTGGCTTTTTCTCTCTCACATGGAACATATTACAGCAAATCCCAAGTAGGCTGTTAGCCAGATTTACCACGCTCATGTTGGTATTCAGGAGGTGGATTACTGACTTGTCCAGTGTTGGATATCAGCTGCAGCTGCATGTACAGCATCACTGAGCCAGCCTGCTGTGTTCCTCTGGGTCAAAACACCTTTTCTGGAACAGTTTCTACATCTGAACTATGTAGGCAGTCTTGGAGCAGGCTGTAAAATGCCAACACACGACCAGCAGGCTGGCCAAGGGGTAAAGCCTGGACACACTGGGATTGGCTTCACTATTTTTGCCTTTAAACACAGCTCCAGCATTTACCAGAGCAGCACTCCAGGAACAAAAGACGTAGCAAGGCAGCACTTGTGTGAGCAGGACAGCACAAATCTGCATGGTTACAGTAAACCTAGCACACCTTTCTTAGTCTGAAACCTTCAAAGAAGGGAAGTAAATCAGCTAGCAGAACTAAACCAGTATTAGCTACCCCAAATTTCTCCCCCTGTGTGGGTTTACTTCGTGCTTCTGAGACAAAGAACCTCGAGGCAGTTTTAAGCAGAGTTTAACACAGTTATAATCCAAACCTTCACTGTAACTTTAGTATCCTCAGATACATTTGCCCATGGGCAAGTGACTCCCCAGGGAGGAGGCAGTGCTTAACACGTGCTCACCTCCACGGTCCCGTGCTGCCAGGTTCTGTCCTCTTCTGAGAGTCACCTCCAGCTGGTACATGCCGGGGTCCCCAGAGGGAAAATCTGCATTACTCGTTTCAACCAGATTTGTTCTCTGCAGGGGGGAGAAAACAAAAACACAACAGCTAATGTTACTAGAAGTTTCATGTAAGATTTACTTTTCTTCTGCATCACTGTCGTGTTGAACTGAGACAAGGCCATGTCCCATTGCCCCACCTCAGAGCCAACCCTGGCACCAAGGAACCCCCTCCTGTCACCAGTGTGGGAAATCATCAGCATTCTGTGTGTTTAGAGACAAAAGGGGAAGGGGAAGGGGAAGGGGAAGGGGAAGGGAAAGGGGACAGGGGAAAGGGGAAAGGGAAAAGAAAAGAAGGAAGGAAAGGAAAGGAAAGGAAAGGAAAGGAAAGGAAAGGAAAGGAAAGGAAAGGAAAGGAAAGGAAAGGAAAGGAAAGGAAAGGAAAGGAAAGGAAAGGAAAGGAAAGGAAAGGAAAGGAAAGGAAAGGAAAGGAAAGGAAAGGAAAGGAAAGGAAAGGAAAGGGAAAAATGTTGACATCTCAATGGTTTAATTTATTATTCAAAAAAGGTGACTGAAAAATAATTCTGTGATCCTTGTATTTATTATGGCAAGCTCCATTTTTAAGCACATTCACATGCACTCTGGAGCACTTGAGCAGAACACATAAGCATAGGCAGTTCTGGACCTTACAGTACTACCTGGACTATCCATTCCTGATACCCACAAACCCTGTATTTATCCAGCTGTGATAATCTAGGCACTGAATAAACACACATGAGGTACAGCTTTGTCATCTGCTGCACTATTTTGCAAGATTCATTGTTTTTTACTCAGAGTTAGGGGGTAAACTGGATAAAATCATGAAGACATTAACTGCAGCTGTAGCTCTTTGGTTGTACTACATGAATTCCTAGTTTGCCTGGATGCTGGGGCACAGATAATATTCTCAGAGAAGTTATTTGTATAAACTGTATCATAAAAAAATAAAGTCAGCCAGAATGCAAGGACTGCATGAAAAGCAATCACATTTCTGTCCCAGATGACAAACGAGAGAAATTATATTTCTGGTACGTGTAAGCTTTTGGAAAATAGTTTTTAACACAACATCTCTGTATAAGTAGCATCTAATTACAGTGCTGCTTCAAGACCACATTTAATGTCAAGGCTAGAACAACTATTCCTGTTACACGTCCCCAGTATGTGCAGGAGCTTCATGTATTATACACACCGAGCACCACGGCTACATATTCTCCTGCTAGGAGCTAAATCTTTTCAGACCAGTGCTATTAATATTTTATTATATGATTATGGGTCCTCTGCAAGAAAAAAAAAAAAGCAGCCTGATAAAAACATCTCGGAGACCTCGGGTGTGCAAAGTGCTACAGCACCTCAACAAGAACCTTGCCTCTCACCCTCCTACCCCCTCTTCTTCCTAAGGCAACAATAAATCTAAAGCACAAAGGCAGCCATAAAATGAAGGCATTGTAACATATTCTCATTACCCCAGGGTTGCAGCTCCAAGCCCCAGCACTTCAACCTTTGCTGCCACACGTGCGGTCCCCGCCGAACCACAACACAGACACCTGGCCACCTCCACAGCAAGGAAACTGCTCAAAACTAGCAGATTCCAGAGAAAAAGGTCTGATGAGCTTTGATCTGGCAGGGGGTGTATTTCTCTCTAGAAATCTCTCAAAATTTATCTTCTTTTTTTGTCCTTGCAAAGTAGCTGCGGGAGGACGTCTGAGACTATCCGAAGACCCTGCAGGACTGCTGCAGAAAGCACCCACCAACTTCTTTTAAATTACTAACACCTCACTCACCACCTATTTTTTATCTTCTCTTTTTTTTAACACACTCAGTGCAGGATACAAGATGAACAATGCTGAACTTCCACCCTACCACACCACGCCTACACTCTAGTCCAGCCAGAAATAATTGCACACTGGCCCGATCATCATCCAGGTCCCAGAGTTCACCAGGGCACTGTGAAAGAAGACACTTGTGTTCTGAAGTAAACAAAAACCAGCAAAACTGTCCTTTTCTTTTCTTGCCCCTCTACACAAGCTGCAAGACTCAAAAGTGACATGATGTCAACCCAACATTTATCTCCTCTTCCATGATCCCTTCCTCACAGCGTCCCCCTCTCCCTTCCCCTCTGAGTTAACACAAAATCCACATCAAAATTCCTTGGTTTAAACAGAGCCATGTGGCTTCTCCTTTTCCCTTTCTAACCTCTTAAATGCATTTCCTGGCAATGGAACCTCACTTTTTCTAACATTTGCATTAATGAGTTCTTCAGAGAGCAGCTCAAGGAGGTGAGCAGGAGAACAAGCCTACAGCACGTAAACAGCTTCACAAATCAAATAAAAAGCAAAAAGATATTAACTATCCCCAAGTATCAGAAAGTCAAACCAGGATTTCTGCATCAGAACACCAGCATCTGAAGTATGCCATTAAAACAGGAGGTTGTCGTAATAAATAAAACAATAAATAATTTTTCAATCACCTCTTTCAATGAAGAAGTTCAACTTGTAAACTGCTAGTAAAACATTCCTAAAAAACACACACACAAAAAAAACACTAGTAAAACATTAGTAACAAAAATGTCAAGATTCCAGACAAAGACCAGGAAGGCAATTAAAGGCTGTTTCACATAGGTAACATCACCTGAGGGAAGGCAATGCCTGAATTAATTACTTTGAATTAATTTTTAGTAGGGGTCTGTCACTATTTACTTTAGAACGTTCTTTTTATCGCAACCATGACTGAAAAACCTGGGACTCCACGATTTTCCCTAAAATAAAAATTCATCTGTTTTTAAGGGAAACATATTTTTTGGCACAGAGAAGCCTTGCATGCAGTGAATTTCAACAGGAAGGTTAAAGAACAGTGAGTGCCTTAAGAGCAGGCTGAGTGTGGAGGCCAGGACAGGGCTCTGGGTGACAGTGCCCATCCTCAGCTGCTCCCGTCCAGCAGGCACCGAACCCTCCTGGGCTCCCCTCTCACCAAACCCCCACAGCAACAGCAGGAGCTGCTTTCCCTTTCAGTGAGACACCCAGGGGAAATCCTTCACGAGCCTGCACTTCAATGAATCTGCAGCTGCAGCCCCCCCTTGACTCATGGCGTGCCAGGAGGTGCTGGGAACACCCCAAAAACGCATCGTCCTGCTCAGCGTGGAGCCCACGCTGCCCCTGCCAGGGACACTTCTCCTTTAGGCGACTCTTTTTCCAGGAACTAGCTCCATGTTACTCAAACCCACCCGAAATCTGAAAGAGGATTGTTTACATCAAAGCCAGGAGGCAGAAATAAAACTGTGTTTCAGTTTGGTGCTCGTTTAGCCCAACAACCCCTCTTCAGCTGGGCTACCTGTTAGCTCCAAGTCAGCCAAACCCTTCTACTTTGTGGGGTGCAGAGGGCAAGGCTACAATGGACACAGGGAACTCTCCTAGAACAACTGAAAACAAATAGCAGAACGGGTAACTTCTAACTGGAAAACACTCAGTACAGTATTTTAAGATCAAAACCCAAAGACAGCGTTGCTGCACCAGTGTGTATTCAGCACACCTGCAGAGCTAAGCTCAGTGTGAAATTACAGGATTGCTCAATTTCACAGAATCTGTGGGATTTGGACATTTACTGAGCAATCTACCATGCCAGAGACACACAAGACCAAGGGGAGCTGAGGAGGAGCACACCCTTGCCCAGGTCTTGTGTCACTGTCACATTGTGGGCCACACAAATACAAATGCAGAGTCTGCACATCTTAGCACCAGAAACAATCTGTTTTCTGATGCCTGTGCCCAGGATCAATGAGGAGTTTCTGCCACCCAAGCTGTTGTGGTTTGAGGCCTGGAATGGGGGCGTGACCTTCCAGCAACTGGGAGGACCCCGGGTGGGGGTGAAACCATTGTATTCCCTCCCCTTCCCACACACACTCTGATAAGAGGCAGGGAGTGGTTTTTTGTTTCACTCCTGCCTTGGAGCTCGGAGAGGAAAGTTCTCCTTTCACTCCGTGGGACCCTGGAACCATTTCTGAGGGTTTTGTGTATTTTTATCTTTTGTATTATTCCCCTGATCTTTGTATATATTATTTTCCTTACTTCCCTTTTTCGTTTTCTGTTCCTTGTTAAACAATATACTTCATTTTTTTTAAAAGTCTCTCTCTCTCTCTCGAGGGGGTGGGGGAGAGGCGAGTACACAGTTCTGTTCCGTGTGGGTCCTGCCCTGAACCCCTTTTTACACGGAACCAGGACACAAGCTGACACAAAGCCTGAACTATTGTCAAGCTGGCAGTAAAAGGATTTGCTTTCTTTCTTTTACCTCCCACTTCTGTGCCATATAAACAAATAAAATCCCATTTCCTCCCAACAACTTCTAGAGCATCTGGAAGCTTTGGCTGCAGCTACATTGGACTTGTTTGGTTCAGCCTCTCTCCCAGGTAACAAGCAATAGGACAAGAGGCAAGGGCCTCAGGTTGCCCCAGGGGAGGCTGAGGTTGGACACAAGGAGAAATTCCTTCCTTGCAAGGGTTGTCCAGGGCTGTGCCAGGCTGCCCAGGGCAGTGGTGGAGTCCCCACCCCTGGAGGGGTTCCCAAGCCGTGGAGATGTGGGGTGAGGGACACGGGGCAGTGGGGACCTGGCAGGGCTGGGGATGGATGGACTCAATGATCTGAAAGGTCTCTCCCAACCAAAAGAACCCTATGATTCTAAGTCACAAAGCTGTTCCCTGCTGAATCCTCTGTGTCTCACTGATGTGAAAGGTCAGGCAAGTCCTTCTACCTCTGCCATTCACACTGAGACACTTCACTGTGTTTTCCAGATTTATCAGCTTAACAACTAGAGAAGAAAACTATTTTTGAATGGATGTTGAGCATGTGAAAAGGCTGCAGGCTGGCTGATGGGTAGGTACACCCACACCAGAAAGAAAGGCAATCCCAGGTTTTGTGCATGCAGTGCTTCCACTCCATGAAGTTCCACCTCAGCATGCAAGAAAAATAACACCACTTTGAAACCACCAGGATAAAATCTCCACTGTTCCCACATCGTACCCTCCTTCACAGCTTGTAAAAACATGCTGT